GTCACTTCACTTTTGAACATCACTGCAAACGGGAATTAATCAGGAAGAAGTACTCCATCTGACTTTCAAACGCTGAAACTGAAGCTGTTCGACTGATTCCAAGATTTATTCTCACAATGCAAAGTATAACTACAAAAGAGCACCTTGATTTTGGGCGAACAGTACAGAAGCAGTTTGTTAACACAAAACACAAAATAAGGATGTATCTGCGTTCTAGTCCGTATGTCATTGGTCTTCGTCAGAGTGAAGCTGCTGAAATCTTTAGTGGTCATCTGCAATCGATGGAACATTTGGAAGCGGCAATTCTCTCGGTGGAGTTGATTTCTTGAGTAGTTTAGGCTACAGTGAGCCGATGAATCGAATTTTGGGATGTTCACTTGAAAGAAGAAATTCAGAAGAACACGTATTATGAACGATTTCCAGCTGAAAATGTGGGGTTATAGTAAAGGAAAAGTATTTGGCTGGCTTGAATATCAGAAAAAATAAAATGAAAATAAACTCTGAATACCAGGAAATAAAATAAATTTGAGGTAAATGTAAATTTCAAAAGGCGTTCGCCTTTGACCGAAGCAGGTATAATAAGTAGCGGTCACTAGTTTGAAACACAGCAAAATATCTTAAAAACGCGACCAGTACCGAACACCGCGTAAGATGCCACAATTGCTAGATTCGGCATAAAGTTTCGTTGCCATGTCATAACATTTTCTTTGAATAATGCTCAATCCACTGGATATTGCAACCGCGTTTTCAGACAAGCATATCAAGCTGTCTATCATCATTAGGAAAAGTTTTTTTTATACATCTTTTCTTTCGTCGACGCGACAGCACAGCGGGTGACGAAACAATAATGACCCTATTTTGGGGTGACCTAAGAGCAGGAGCTAAAACTCTTGGAGAAACGATGAGACCCCCTTTGTACACTGGAGAAAGAAAAAGAGGGCTCAGTATCAGTGGGGTCAAGATTGCAGGCGAAACTGTCAACGGACTGAGTATGAGTGGTGTAAGTACGTAGGGCGACAAGATAATTGGGCACACCGTTAAAGGACTAATCACTAGAGGAAAAAGAACCAGCGGGGACAGAATAACCGGCGTCAGAACAAGAGAGCTGATAAATAAACCTCCAAGGACATGGGGAGATAGAATAGTTGGAGACAGTACAAGAGGACTTAAGACAATCGGCCCGAAGATTGATGGCGATAAAATAAAGGGTGATAGTATCAGTGGACTCAGTATCTCTGGAACGGATGCTGCAGCAGGATTCAAAATTGTAGGAGCTAAAACTGATGGTGTCAAAACCACTTGTCGTTTTCTGATCGAGGAGTGTCCAAAAATCTGTCGTGCCTCATTCATGAGTAGTTTTTCCTTTTCTTCTTCATTTGCCAATAGAAACGTGTTGTAAAATTTTGGGCGTTCAGTAATATTCAAGGCATTCAATGGACCGTACAGAAGCTGTAACTGGCGCCTGTTCAAAAACGTATAACCGTCTTCGTTCATTTCCTTTCGTTGACGGCTGTCATACAGTCTATCAAACCTTCGAAACACTCTTTTGAGAACAGATTTTGAAGACGTGTCATTTGTCAACACATCAGCCAACGGTTTAGCAACAGCTTTCAGACGCTGCAGATAATGTAGTAGCGTGTCGTCTTTGAAACCCGTATGCAAGTCTTCTCCAAGCATCATTAAGTTGTCTGTGGCTCCGCTTAGCTCCAATATTAGTCTTAGCCATGCTAGCTGTTCAGACGAAGGTGCCGAGTTAAGCAATTTCGACAGGGGCAAAAATTCGTTCTTGCTTTGGTCATTGTACAAACTGAGAATATTCGGCGAGAAAATGGACGAGAAGTTGCCTCTGTCCGGAACAATGGACAGCACTTTCGGCGAGAACAGCCTCACTGAGTCTGGATTCACCTCACTGTCTGCTTCACCTAGAAGAATCTCTCTGGCAAACGTCATCATGTTGACCTGCCTTTGCGAGAGGTTCTTCATTGAGGTCATCGAATGATTTTCAAGTGATCTGACAGCTTTTTGTAACATAGGCCAGCCGAATGACTCTGCTGATTCGGTGTCCTCCTCCATTAGCAAAGCACGTGTTACTTGGTTCAGCGTTTTCTTGCGGGTTTCGTACCACGATTTCGTGTCAAAATTACTTCCCGGATAAGTGTCCAACTTGGAGATCTTGGAGGAGTAGAAACGGTTCAGCATAGCGTTCGCCATAACTTGGGAAACAGGTTTTTGCGAACGACCATTAATGTTGACGTTAGGATGATATTGCCGCATACGTTGCATTTGTATCGTCGAAAGGGACGACCGTTTGTATCTGCTTGTGGCCTAAAAGAAAACGTTTCACGCCAGCAAATGAAATATGCCATGAAATTTTTCACAACGCCTCAATTCTGCTAAAGATTATAATACGTTTCTGCTGCTAAAAATCTGTTTCAATGCCAAGACATTCTCATCATATCATATCAGATATCAGGCAACACCACATACCGTAATACTGACTTACGAGGTTAATTCGTTCTGTAACCGAGCTCGTAACTCAATTTTCTCGTATATCAAATCAAATTTCTCCATTAAAATTAAATGAAATAATATTAATCCGTTCCAGCCCCCAAAAACCACACAAATT